AAGGCCGAGGCGGCGGTCTATTGGTGGGTCGTGCTGTGTCACGAGCTGGCGCACAATCTGGTCAAGGAACACAGTGCCGATCACTCGTACTACACGTGAGTGACTACGTATATTGCCCAAGCGTTTGGTTGAACCCCTGCTAACCTGCTTCTAGGGAGAGCTTCGTCATGCAGTACTTCCCCAAAATGGTCGCCAAAGCCGCACAGTACCAGGCCATGTCCGCATCGGTGTCGTCGTCCGCTGGTCCTTTCATATAACCCCTTACGCTGACATCTCGTTCGACAGTCCGTGACCGTGGAGCCTGCACAACCCATCGTACCACAGTCCGAACCGCAAGTAGTGGAAGAACCAGAGCAACCCACGGCGGAAAAGCAGCCTGAGCCGGTACGGTCAACAACGCACATGCCTTCGCCGTCGATCTCGTACGAGCGTGCGCGGTCTATGATGCTCGATCGCCACTTGCATATGAGGAGGTGAGGCGGGTTTGATGAGCGCTCCGAGAGTGAGCGCGGCGTTTGGGGAGCGGAACGAATATAGATTCCGGTTGGCTTCGAGAACATAGCGTGGCGTTTGGAAAGCAGATGGGAGTCATGAGAGCATGGCGTTTTCTGACTCTCAGAGGCGCAGTTCACGAGTCAGTCGCGTCGGCGCGGCTTCTCTGCTTGCATTGTACCATACCCCTAGAGCTTTTAGAACACAGATACCAATTGTCTTTTCACTCTTCTCAACGCGAAGCTGTTCGTCAGCACGGCGCGTTTACAAAGAGGCACTAATTCTGAGCCGGTGAACAAGGGTGATGCATCGGAAGCCTTCTGAATGAGGGGAGATGGCAAAGGAACGTTGTTGCAAGCGTCCTGTCAGTCATCGCATCGCGTCGATGTACGCCAGCAGCTTGACACGTCGCCTCGCCTCGCTCCGCTCCTTTCGGGTCCTCGACACCTCTCCTTCTCTACCTCTCTCCTTCTCTACCTCTCTCCTTCTCTACCTCTCTCCTTCTCTACCTCTCTCCCTCTCTACCTCTCTCCCTCTCTCCCTCTCTACCTCTCTCCTTCTCTACCTCTCTCCTTCTCTACCTCTCTCCTTCTCTACCTCTCTCCTTCTCTCAAATCATTCCAGCCGCCTCCCACAGCGTCCACGAGTCCAACAGCAACGCCCAACCCAATCCAACCAGCCACGAGCCCAAGCCAGAGCCGAGCACCCCCACTCTCCAGTCGTCAGTCTTCCCAGTCTCCCTCACATCAGCGCCGCACCCACCCCACCACCTCTGCACACGGCAGAAGCAAGCCGAGGACACGGCGCCGAGGAGACACGGAACGCAGCAGAGAGCTCACCGAGCACGCCCATCCTGCACGGTACGATGCTGCTCGCGACGCGGCGTCCGAAGGCGTAGGGACGTGGGCCTCCGTCTCTCCAGATGAATATAATTAGATATATCTCTAGCCCTTGAGATGAATCGAACATCTATCAGAATATTAACAGTATTCCGCTCTACCATTGAGCTACAAAGGCTGTAAAACCAATAAAATAGGTTTTTACTCATAGTAATTAAATTCAGCTATTAATCCTATAAAGACTAGTATTCTACTTAAACAAGGTAAACTATACTAATAAGTTAAAAAAGTTCTTTCTTATTGATTATAGGAAGGAAAGGACTCGAACCTTCGACAGCATTAGCTATTGAGTTTACAGCTCAACCCGTCATACCAACAAACGGGACCTTCCTTATATACAACATATGTATATATATGTTTATGGGGGGGGTATTGTTAACATTAATTAATCCCGTGCAATTTCCACTACACGAACCGTATTTCGACTTAACACCAATCAGAGTCACGCATACGAAGATTGCTATTTAACATATCTAAACCTAATTGCTTAGATTATAGGTTAACATCAACCAAACTTATTGCACATACTCCTTTCAGCGCCTGACGAGTAGTTAGTACCTATCTGAGATTAAATCCACCGTGCCGTGGTGATACACGATTACTAGTAATTCCTTTTTCATGTAGTCGAGTTACAGACTACAATTCATAGCTCGACCTGTCTGCCGCGGCCGCGAGGGGGGGAAGTAGTATGAGAATGCACGCTGCCCCTCTCGACTCCCTGACGCCAGTCTCGAGGCTCGAGATGTGGGAGGTTGCGCGTTGGTGTCATGTCGTGTAGTGTCGTGTCGTGTCATGTGATTGGCATGTGCTGCTTCTGCTGTGCGTGCATTGCATAGGGGGAGAATGCCCTTTTTTGTGCCAGACTGATGTTGTGCCGCGTCAAGCTTGTGGTGGATGGTAGGAGGCAACAGGGCGGGACATGTATGTGTGTTGGGGGGGGGGGAGTGGAGGGGTCTCCGGGGTTGAGCGTTCGTTCGTCACAGAAAGTCCAAGTCACGATATTTCGTCGTTCTTGAAGGGCAGGCTGGAAGTTGCTGCTGCCGTCGCGTGAGTAAGTCTACCGCTGGTGGCCGTCGTAGTTCTACGTAAAGTCCGCTACGATCAATTCTACAATCGCCTCTTGCTGTCAGTATCTGCCTTCCATGGTCACTCACGCTCACGCTCACACTCACGCTCACACTCACACTCACACTCACAAGCACAAGCACAAGCACGTCACCCTGCACACGTCTATCTGCTCGTGACCGCCTGTTCAGACATACACCTTCCCCTTCACTGTACGTCGTGCACGACCGCCGTCGACTGTGCAGGTGCTGTGGCGCAACAGTCGCTTCTGAAACACGGCATACCCTCCTGGCTGCCGTGACAGCTCGATCAGGAGGCTGCATGCCTCTCAGGAGGGCGCCTGCCTGCCTGGCACAGCCGGTTTCACACGAGCGTGCATCGAGCCTCCTGCGATCTATGACATCGCAGTGCAGGAGGAGCATCGAGGGATGGTGGAGGGGAGCGTACAGTGCGTCGTTCTGCCCCCGCCCATCCCGTGACACCCTGATAGGGGACTCGTGATAGAGTTAACGTTATCTTAGTCCTGTGTCCCGACGTCTCGATCGCATTCTAGGGACTGGAGCGTGGAATGCCCTGGCCTTCCGAGAATGTTCTCGGGGCTTGGCACCGAGGAAAGCTACGAGAGGGTCGAAGTAACGTTGCCTGCTACTGAACGTTGCTGCTTCTCGAAGAGGCTTACGTCCGGGTGCGTGTCTCACCTGATGCTGAGTTAGCCGCGTAGATTCGATGGATATGGGGAGGGGCGCAAGCGGGCAACGTAGATCGGGCAGAAGGTGGGTTACCGCGGCCCGCAACCTCCAACGGAAACGCCTAGACCCAACGCCTGGAGCGACGCGGCGACTGGCGTAGGAGGCGTGACTAGACGAAGAGGGACGATCCTTCTGCTTAGAATCGAGAAGCAGTAAGCCGCCGGTTGCTGCCCGATCGTGAGCTGTGAGCGAGGGTACGGAAAAGACGTCGACTGTCACGGTCGCTTTCGTGGCGTGGCAGGCGCTTGCCCCCCCGCTGCGATGCGGATGCCCGCTGTTGCGAGTAGAGTGTGCGATGCGTTCTGTGTTGCAAGAGCGGGTTGGACGTCGGCTCGTCGCACTCATGCACCCAGGATCTGACAAGCCGTTTGTGGTTGTACTACAGCTGCCATTCCTGGTAGTCGGGACCGCACACTCGAGCGAGAGCTCTGCATGCGCGATGCAGGTGGGAGAGTTCACGTAGTGCGAGCAGATCTATCGTGATACTTCCTCCATCTCAGGAGTGCATGCACGACGTGCGGTGATGGACTAACTGCTGCGTCTCTTGTCGCTGCTTGCTCGAAGCGTTGCCGTTCTCAGAGATGCCTTGAATTCTTCCATAGGCTATCTGCATCGCACACAGAATGCAGACGCGCTACGAACTGCCATGCGTAGCAAAATCGAGGAGGTCCCTCTAGCGTAGTTTTGTGGTCTTGCGCAGTCGCGTTTGCCTTGCTACGTCTCCACAGGAACAAGGGACGAGGCTGAGCACGACCTCAAACCGGGATGAAGATGCTCGGCGAACTGCTACTGTAGCCGGGCCTCTGTTCCCAAACTAGCAGACGGCCGTTGCTCGGCCACCGTCACTGAGCAACGGCTCGTGTCCAGACCGGAGCATCTGTTTGGACCTGCGTTTGAAGGCGCCAAGGGATGAACTCCGATGAAAGACGGTCTCCTCGGGGGGTCGGAACATATCCTAGTTGGTAGCAACGTCCCTTCCGCGATGGCTTATCCCTTCGGTGATGGAGGTTCCCTTGCAGAGGGGTTGGACAAAGGGTAAGGTAGCTCGCAACAGATTTGAGACTTGTCTCAGCCGCAGGGAGGGCAGGACATCTGGCCCAGTGTGGATACTACCCTAGGGAGGATGTGGGCGGGCCAGTGAAAGTTACAGTGAGCGGTTGCGTCGGTCCACAGACGAGCGTGACTTTGTTTCTGCTCGTGGGTGCGCAAAAGATTGGTGAGCGAAAGAACGTCGAGGTTGTTCTACGACACCGAGATGTCTTGTCCGCAGCCAAGGAAAGCGCTTCGAAGGGCGAGCGCAGCAATGAAACACAACGATTGGATTTGACAGTGGCGCGTCCGTTGGCTTGGGCGCACACGTGAGACAGACCGGGGACGGAGTGATGCAGACGTAACGTTAACAGTGTGGAGCTAAGCCGTCCAAACGCTGAGGACGAAGAGGCGCCGCCCGAGATAGCCTTCACTCATTGCAACTCTATCAGATGGAATCGTGCTTCTAGATCAGTGGTCCGCTTGAGGCTAACGTTGAGTGCGATCATACGGCATCATACGTTCGCAAAACAGGCGATGCGAGAAAGGTTGAGGACACAGCGAATGGCGAGATCGATCGGTGCTCGTGGTGCTTGCAGGCTTGGCCCGCAGCAGCATTGCTCCATGTCACCCCTTCAACCCGTCAACCCAATTAGCGGCCTCAGGCAAGCTTGAAGCAGTGATGCGGCGAGTTTCGGTTTCGGCTTCGGTTTCGGATCGCGACCAGCAGCAAGCGCGGCCGACGCCGAGGTGTGGAAGCACACATCAGCACTTCAGCCTCACCCGGCCGGAGATTCGGGTCCCGCGTCTTCGCCCAAGTGGTGCGGCGCTGGGCGCCAACTTTAGGTACCTTGCCTGCCTACCGCTAGCTGTGAGGCGGATCTTCAGGCACCGCCCGCTGGCCGTACCGCGTCTCCACGAATCACGACGCCTGCACGCCGCTGCCCCAACGTCGTCTTGGAGACATCACCGGGTAATTCACCTGGGAAGCACTGGCAGACTACTTTCCACATCTCGGGCTGGCAAACATCGTTGCAACCGCATGCAGCTTAGTGTACCTGTCTTGGGCAGTGCTGTGAGAGCTGGCGAGTTTCGCTGTTGCTTGGGAGATCGAGCTCCTTTGTCTGGCGCTGTCAATGCAAGGAGATCGCCCTGCGCCATCGATCCCCCACAGCGAAATGTGCATGCTCGAGGTTGTGGACGTAGCATAGGTGGTGACAGAGCGCAACAACAATTGACAAATACGGAGAGTCTGTGTTGAGCGCGTCGCATGTGCACGCTGCAACCCTGTGGTGGTTCTCGGCCAGCCTCCTTCCCCACGGGTCGAGTGTTCACAAAGACGACAGATGAAGGCCGACGGCGTGAAACGCGCTAGTAGCCAGCACCCCTGTTAGCCGCACTCCGTTTACGGCCATGCAATCACGAAGATCAAAACCACCACAAGCTTCCTCTCTTCCTCTCCTTCTCCTCCAACCTTCACCACTGCCAACCCACGTTCCTTTCTCCAAACCTTCACACTCTCTTTCTGTACCATCTTCCACACTCCCCGAGACCCGATCTTCGGCATCCACACTCTTTTTGTACGCTCTAGTCGTACGCTTGCTCCACCACCCTCAGTGAGGACCAATTACCAACGCGTAAGTCAAGACACCCGTGGCCTCGACCGTGATGCAAACGTCTTGCCATGCGTCTTTCTTCAGTCATTCCAACCTTCAGGATCTGCGATCCAAGACTTCAGTGAATCAAAGAAAGAACATTCCCTCCAAGACAATCCAAGAAAATGCTCTACTCAACTCTTCTCTCTGCTGCCTTCGCGGCCGGCGTCCTCGGTTCACCTCTTGCTCTCCTCAAGCGTGACGTCGTCACCGAGTACGACTACGTCACCGTCACCGAGATTGTGACTGCTGGCGCCGCCCCGGAGGCCACGTCTACCGTCCAATTCTACGGACACCGCTACGGTCAGTACACTCGTCAGTCGAGTTCGTCCACTACGTCGACCTCGACCACGATCACTTCGTCCACTACGTCGATCTCGACCACGACCACTTCGCGTGCCGCCGTCGCTACCAGCTCGGTTGCCCCGGCTCCGGTTTCGACCTCGAGCTCCACCACGACCACTCGCGTCTCGACCACTGCTGCCGCGGTTGCTACTTCCTCTTCTGCAGCCGCCGCTACTACAACCGTGGCCGCCGCCTCTGCCAAGGCCACCGACTACGCCAGCATCGTCGTCGCTCACCACAACGTCCACCGTGCCAACCATTCTGCCCCCGATCTTGTCTGGGACGCTGGCTTGGCCTCTACCGCTGCGACCATCGCTGCCAAGTGTGTCTACGCTCATGACGTGTACGTCTTTTTTCTCTCTTGACCAAAGCAATCAAGCTGACAGCGACTAGCACCACCAACGGTGGAGGTTACGGCCAGAACATCGCCGCCGGTGTCAGGGCAGACAACATCTCTGCCGTTATTACCAACCTCTTCTACAACGGTGA